ATAAAGAACATCTAAAAAAAACCTATGGCTAATATCATATTTAATGGTAAAAAGTTGGAATACAGTGTCCATAAGATCAGGATATCTGCTCTCACCATTATTATTTGACACAATGCTGAGAGTTTTAGCCGCTGCAATAAGGCAAGATAAAGAAATAGAAGAACACAGATTTGAAAGAAAGAAGTAAAACTATCTCATCTGCAGACTGACTGTGAAGAAAATCCCAGGGATTCTACCAAAAAACCTCCTAGAATAAGTGAGTTCAGGAAGGTCACAGAATACAAGATCAACATACAAAAAACCATTCATATTTCTTTATACTAACAATAAACATGTAGAAACCAAAATTTAGAACACATACAACCGCTCCAAAGAAAATGAAATAATTAGATATCTACATTTAAACCTGTACAGAATCTGTTTGCTAAAAATTACAGAATGCTGATGAAAGAAATATCTAAACAGATGGAGAGACATGCAATGTTCATGGATTGGAAGAGCCAAAATAGTAATGATGTCAATTCTCCCCAAACTGATTTATAGTTTCAATATGATTCCTATCTAAATCTCAGCAAAGTTCTTTTTTTTAATTCTAAAATTTATGTAGAAAGGCACAGGTTCTAGAATCGCTAAAATAATCCTGACCAAGAAGAATGAAGAGGGAGGAATCACTTCCTGGTTTCAATGTTAATCATATAGCTACAGTTGTCAAGATAATGAGGCATCAGCAGAGAATGAGATATGTAGGTCAATGGGACCGAGTAGAGAACTTAGAAATATACCCACACAAATGCACTCAACTAAGTTTTCACGGAGGCGTAAAACAGCTTTTCAGTAAATGGTGCTGGGCTAACTGGACATCCACAGCAAACAAAAAGGAACTTTAACCTAAATCTCCCATCTTACAAAAAAATTAACTCAAGATGGGTCATAGACTCAAATGTAAGATATAAAACTTTTAGGAAAAAACATAGGAGAAAGTCTTCAGAATGTAAGGCTAGGCAAAGAGTTCTTAAAGACTTGATACCTGGAATATAATGAGTCATAATAAATACATATTTGGTCATTCACAGAATGACCAAATATATTATTTCTCAAGTATATTTAGTCTTCATCCAATTTCTGAAAACCCTGTAGAGTCTTGAAGGTTAAATGGGTGTCTTGTCATGTTAATGAGAGACTTTAGAACCCCTGGGGGTGTGGGGCTGGAGGTTAAATCAGTCAATGGCCAATAATTTAGTCAATCATGATTATGTAATGAAGCCCTCACAAAAATCCCTGAAAAGAGCTTATTCTCTCTGCTCTCTGAGGTCCTGCTTCTCCTTTGGACAGAACGTCCACGCCTGGGGAACCAGAACTCCTCCATATGCTACCAAGCCAGGCCCCAAGCTCCACGAAGATAGAAGCTCCCTCATCTGGGACCTTGCCCTATGCATCTCTTCATCTGGCTGTTAACTTGTGTCCTTAATTAAACTGGTAAATGTGTTTTCCTAAATTCTGTAAGCTGCTCTAGCAAATTAATTGAATCTAAGGGGGAAGTTGTTGGAACCTCCAATCTGTGGGGGTGGGTGCGGTGGAGGGCAGTCTTGCAGGACAGAGCCCTTCACCTGGAGAATCTGGTGGTGTCTCCGGGCAGATAGCGTCAGAATTGCGTTGAGTTCTCAGACACCAGCAGAATTGCGTTGAGTTCTCAGACACCCTGCTGGTGTTCGAGAACTGCTTGGTGGTGTGTGGGTGGGAAGAAACCCCCTTCCTTCCCACACACACTGGAATCGGGTCCGGGAACCTGAAAGGACTTAGCACATCATTGCAATACCAAAGTATGATCCCCAGAAGGAAGAATTGATAAATTGAACTTGAGCAAAATTTAAAACTTTTGTTCTGTGAAAGTCCATGTAAAGAGGATGAAGACGAGCTACAGACTGGGCAAAATATTTGCAAACAACATCTGACAAAAGATTTGGATCTAGAATACACCAAGAACTCTCAAAACTCAACAGTTAAAAAACCAATGACATGAACAGATATTTCACCAAAGATGATACAGAGACAGCAAATGAACACATGAACAGGTGTTTAACATCAATAGCCTCAGGGAAATGTAGATTAAAACAACAATGAGACCGTACTACATACCTATCAGAACGGCTAAAAATTAAAAACAGTGAAAACAACAAGTGCTGGTAAGGATATGGGTCAACTACATTACTTATACATTGCTGGTGGGAATGTAAAATGGGAGAGCCAGTCTTTATTAAAGAGTTTGCTAGCTTCTTAAAAAAACTAAACAAGCAACTAGCATACAACCCAGCAACTGTAATCTTAGGCATTTATCCCAGAGAAATGAAAACTTAAGTTTGCACAAAAACCTGTATACAAATGTTGATGTTAAAAGCTCCAATGGAAAAGGAACACAACATACAAGATGAGCAATGGAAACCATCTCTCTTCAGCAGAGAGATGGAAACGATAAGAAAGAATCAAACAGAAATACTAGAAATAAAAAACAGAAAAAATGTGAAAAAAAACAGATGAAGAATGTCTTCAAATGGACTCCTGAGCAGGCTCAACACAGTCAAGGAAAGAATTAGTAAACCTGAAGACAGGTCAACAGAAGTTACTCAAAAAGGAAATTAAAGAGACACAGCAACTAAATGCAAATCCTGATTCTGGACTGGATCCTGGACAAGGAAATAAATAGCTCTAAAGCACATCATTGGAACAACTGGCAAAGCTGTAATGACAAACTATAGATTACTGTACTGTATTTATTTGTACCCATGTTAAATGTCCTGATTTCGGTAATTGTGCTACAGTTAAACGACACCGTGTCCTTGTTCTCAGGAAACACACACTGAATATTTAGGCCTCAAGGGCACAGTATCTTTAATTTATTCTCAAATGGTTTGGGAGAAATACGCTGAGAAAGAATGATTAAGCAAATGTGGCAAAATATAAATAATTGATAAGTCTGGGTACAGGGTAGATGACAGCCAAGTTCCTTATGCCATTCTTACAGCTCTTCCCTAAACTTGAAATTACATCTAAATAACAAGTTCTAAACTCCTCCACCTCCCCGCCCGCGGCCAGATGGTCCTATAGGGTATGGTCTATAACATACTCAAGGACAAGATTATCCCCAACTTGCACAAACTGACTTAGAAACTGGCCAAAGACAATGCTTCCCAACTCTTCATAAAGCTAATATAAATGTGGCACAAAAACTAGTCAACGAGAGCACAGAAAAGAACCTAAAAGGCCAAGCTAACTTCTTGAAAGAATTTCAAATATCCTAAATAAAATATCCACAGACCCATGCTGGCAATATACAGCTGACCCTTGAACAACTCCGGGGTTAGGGGTGCCCACTCCTCCATGTGGTCGGAAATCCGAGTATAGCTTAACTCCCCCAAAACTTAACTACTAATAGCCTATACATGAAATAGTCAATTAACATGTATTTTGTGTCTGTATTACATACCGTATTCTTACAATAAAGTAAGCTAGAGAAAAGAAAATGTTTCTTCAACTGTTGAGAACCTCCAAAAATTTTCCAATATAATTATTGAAAAAAACCTGCGTGTAAGTGGACCACATACTGCAAACCTGTGTTGTTCAAAGGTGACTTATATACAAAAATCATGAGATGCTTTAACATCAGAAAGCCTATTAATGAAAGAGTAGGTGATAAAACAAAATCATGTAATATAAAACAGTATAATTAAAATAGTTAATAAAAGAAAACCACATACTTCTCAATTAATGCAGAAAAAGTATTTAATAAAAATCGATCATCTTCATACTGTAAAAATTCCCAGCAGGAAGGGTACTCCTTAACCTCACGGAAGTATCTCCTAAATCGTACAGGAAGTGGTATACTTAATGTTAAAACACGAAAAGCCTTCCCTTTTAGGCTGGGAAGATAAGAACGATCACCATTGCCACTTCTAGTCAACACCACACCGGGGACCTTAGTAAGTAAAGCAACACCAGGAACAAAAAAGGTAAAGAAATAAAAAGTCAAAGATCTGAAAGAAGACACAGAAATGTCTAAACAGAAAATCTACAAGACTCCACCAAATGAGAGAACTAATAAGGGAGTTCAGAAAACTGACCCTAAAATTCATGTGGGAGGGAAAAGGCCAAGAACAGGCAACGTAAGGGGCAGAACAAGGCTGGGAGGCCCCCCGCCGGCGGGGAGGGCGCCCCACGAAGCTGCTGTAAGGGTGCGGCGGAATCAGCACAGGGCGCCCAGGCTCAGACGGGGGTCTGGGAGAGGCTCGGACGTCTGCGAAAGCTTGGCTCCGACAGACGGGCACAGAAGGGAGCGACGGTCCAGACGAACATCGCAGAGACCGTCCACTGCAGCACGGCCCGCTGCACGTGCCGCGTCCGGGGGTGACGGTGCCGTCCCCTGCGCACAGGGGCCCGGCGGGGCGGGGGCCCTTGCTGCCATTCTGCAGGACCCGAAACTGAAGGGACTTCGACGTGGAATGTGAGTGGGTGGGCCTGGAAGAGGGCCAGGGAGAGACCCATGACGCCAGAGCCTGAGCGGGCGCGTACAGACAGGGTGGACGGAGGAGCAGGGCACAGGGCCCGGGAGGGACGGCACAGAGGGGGCTTGGGAGCGGGCTTGGGAGCTGGCAGGGGTGCTGGCCAGAGGCTCCGAGTCACCGCTCTCACTCAGCCTCCTGACCACACCTAGCGGGAGGGCAGGGATTACCGCCCCATCCTGGGAGAGAGATACCCACTGCTGCCCAGGCCACAGGACTACACTGCGGGCCTGGCCCAGCTCTGGCCCTCGCCGCAGGGCACCTGTGCCCCTTCAGAGGAGGGCGCGAGCCTCCTGCCGCACTGCCGTAAACAGGTCTGCCTCAGGGCCTCGTGAGGTCAGAGCCCGCTCAAGGTCAACACCGCAGTCCAGACACCGGGAAGCCACATTCTCAGGAGATGGGCCCTTCCTTACAGCGTGCTAGGGAGTTGCAGTCACGGTGGCTTACTTCTTTTACACAGAAACGACGACTTCTCGTAGCAGCTCTCGGCGTGCCAGCTGTGCAGGTCGTGGTGGCGCAGGGTGGGGAAGTGGAAGCACTGCAGCTGGGCGCAGAGCACGTTGTCGCTTTCAGACATGGCTGAGGCGAAGATAGGGTCTGGGGGTAGGAACACCTCTGAAGAGCCTGTGGGAGAAACACGCGGGGGGCTGGCCATTACAGCACACGCCAACATGCCCAGCACATGCAGTCCTCACAGGGGCCGGCGCCCCCTGAACTGGCCCCTCGGTCACAGAGCTCGTGGTGGCCAAGTGCTAACTGTACTGCGACTGTGGTGCCGCTCCCTGACAGCCTCGGCCGGCCCCTCAGAACATGGCTCTGGACACTGTGCCAGTGGGGGCCGCGCTCCCGTAGAGCCGGGGGCTGCGCTCACAGGCAGGCACCACTGGGTGGAGGCCCAGGGGAGGGCCGTGCTCGCCTGCGGACGTTTAAACGCAGAGCAACACCACAAAGAGCAATGGACCACCGCACAGGGGCTCACAGCTTACGAGGCCGCACGGGTGGACAGGTGACTGCAGCAGGGGAGGGGATCGCACCTCACAGCCAAGTGTCAGTACTGAGTGGAGAAGGGCCTGAGAAGGTGTGCACTGCACCTGCCAGGAACACACGTTCTGGCAGCCCAGTGGCCCTGGTGCCCAGCAGGAGCATCAGCCGGCCAGGGGGACGGAGGAGCGTTGGCCCCCTGGGGCCCTCCTCCCAGCTGCTGGGAGACTCGGTCGCTCACTCAGCTCCTGGGTTCCAAGCTGGGGACCAGGCGATCAGAAGTCATGCTGCCTTCACAGCCTGGGGTGGGGATGCACAGGCGTTGCGGAAGGGGCCAGGAACCTCCTAAGCCTCTCTTCTCTGGTATCCTAGGAAGTGGGGCTCTGGCTGCACCAGGGCACAGCACAGCCAGCCCCAGAGCCTCTCCGAGGGACAGCCCTCCAATTCTTGACTGCCAGAAGATTCCTTGAGGCTAACCTGGACACGGATCACTAGAAATGCTCTCCTTTTACTCAGTGGTGATGCAGTTTACCCTTCAACAGGAACACGGCATTTCCACGCATGCCTATCTGCTCCTAAGGCTAGTCAGTGTTGAAGAGCCCGCACGTCCAGAGGCAGGGCCTCATCCCAAGGGCACCAGGACACAGTGTCCTGGCTCCCTGACAAGGGCAGGAAGATGGGCTTCCAGGAAGCACGGAGGGCCAGAAGGCCAGTCCCTGACCGACAGGCAGAGCCAGTGTTGTGCATCCCTGCTGGGGCATTGGGGCCCCAGCAGCCTGCCAGCCTCTCTGCTGCTCAGACCCAGGGCCAGGCCACAGCAGGAGGCAGCAGGGGGGCCGGGCTCTGGGGGATGAGTTCCCATGCCATCTGGGGGCTCCGACCCATTGCTCAGAGAGGGCCCTGCCATGAACACCCTGCCACCCAGCCTGCGCTGCAGCCCTTCCTCGAGGCTCCCCGCTCCCCCAGGAGGCTCTTACGCCCCTGTGCATTATGCTCTTCTTCTCCCTCACATGCCCCTTGGCCTGGGCAGCACCCTCCCTTTAAAAAAATGGTTTTCTCCACTATTTGGCTTCCTGTCTCATGGGCTGGAAAAATGAACAGATTCTTCCCATCCTTTATAAAAAAACAAGTCTTCAGCCCCTCAGTCTAGTTGCCTTCAGGAGCACAATTTTGTTGCATGATTGCAAAGCTCGGACCAAGGGCACAGGGGTAGAGCAGGCCAGAGCCAAGCTGGGGCGGGCAGGCAGACGGACGCGCGGGCAGGCCGAGCGGCAGGTGCTCCTTCCACTAGCTGGTGCCCATGGGACCCTGGCCTCCTCATCCCGTGCTGGTCAGAAGCCCCATTAATGCCCAGGTTGTGGGCTATCATTCCTTGAACCAGTGACTGTGAAGACTGCCCACTTCCTCCTTGCCAAACTCAGATCCTTCCAGCCCTCCTTTTACTTGCTCTCTCTGTGGCGTTTCACCCTCCATTTCCTTAAGGGTGTCTCCGTCCTTGGTCTGTCAGCGTATAAATGTGGCTGACCCCAACACGCTCGATGTGGTCTTCCGTTAGCACCTGCAGCAGTGGCCTCTCCCCCACCAAACGCATGTTCACCTTGAACCACAGAAGGTGACCTTATTTGGCTCTTGAGATGAAATCACCCTGGATTTGAGGTGGACCCCAAATCCAATGTCCAGTATCCTTATAGTCAGAAAGGACACAGAAAATGGCCATGGGAAGATGGAGCAGAGAAGGGAGTAAAGCTGCCACAAGCCGAGGATGCCAACCGCCATTGAATGCTGGAAGGGGGGCCGGGCAGGATCACCTCCTGTAGCCCACCCTGCCAACACCCTGACTTTGGACTCTGTCTCCAAAACCGCAGGAGTGAATTTATGTTGTTTCCACCACCAAGTCGGTGACGCTCTGCCAGGGTGGTCACAGGAACCCAGCACAACCTGCTAAGCACTCTCACTGGCTGACTCAACAAACACTGGCAGGGGCATCCTGTGCACAGGCGCGGGGCACACTGGGCAGTAGGCAAAGATCCTGGCCTCGGGGAGCTCGCATTTGAGGGGGTGGGGTGCGGTGGGTGGGGTGGTGCAGACAGATGACAGGGCAGTGGCCTGAAAAGGGAGTAAAGTGCCACGATGTCGGGAGGTCATGGCTGCTCAGGAAAAGCAGGCTGGACCTGGCAGTGGAGGCGGTCCTCGGGGTGGTGACTCCAGGTGGAGAATGGAGGCAGAGCTGTGTGCCGCCAGCCCTGACACTATCCCGCCGGGGCTCCCACACCACCCAGAGGTTTTGCTGCTTTGCCAGGACTCAAGGGACCTTGCATCAAGCTAGTCACAGCTAAGATTTACCACAACGATGCAGCAGGGGTGGGGCGTGGCCCAGGCCAGCCTTCCCCAGCACCCCACCCTCAGGAGGGTGCCGTGGGGTGGGCCTCTGCCCGTACTGAGTCACAGCAACACGGCACAGAGCCTCTGGCAGGGAGGCCTGCGGGCTGATCCCCTGCCACCATAAGGCAGACTCATGACAGGAGCAGGCGGGCACCTTTATAAAGCCCACTGCCTGCGCGGTCCAGGCGGCCTGCCTCAGCAGGTTCCTTCCAACCCAGCCCTCCTGCCACCAGCAAGGCCAGGCCGGCTATGCCAGCTGCACCAGAGTGAGCCCTGAGCCTGGGAGGAGCGTCCCAGGGAGGGCTTATGGGGGAGCAGAGGCGGCACGTCGTGGGGTGGAGGGCTGCAGGAGTGAGGGGAGGAAAGGGCGGAGGGGAGGAAAGGGCGGAGGGAATGGGCGCTGCTGGCCTCAGTGAGAACCGTGCTTCTGTGGGAGGAGAGCCACGAATGGCAACCCCTGCACCAGGCACCCTCCATGTCCGCCAGGCACCGCCGGGGTTGCTAGGGGGGAGTGGGTGACCCCAACGATACCCCTCAGGTCAGGATGATGCCCCCCAACTTCACACGCAACGACTCTGAAAGACCAGGGAGGCTTACCTTTGAATGCCACCTCCCAGCGGCCTTCTAAGGAGTGGTTCCGGCTGGTGATGACGTACTGGTAACCAACCCACAACCTGCGGAGGCAAACACGTGGGCAGCCGGGCAGCGGGGAGGCAGCGCCAAGCGGGTGTGTGTGTGTGTATTCACAGCTACCTTGACCTTTCAGATACTGAACTTCTCAACCATTCCTTTCCTTTTAAATTTGGATAATGAATTTTAATAAAATGCACTGAAACTCTAAACAATAAATTCAAACCCAGAAAAAGTTTTATCTTGAGCAAGTTATCTTTTTAACTCCTGCCAAGACTGATCTTACCAGCCGATCCAATTAAGCGTTCACATTAAGCGAGACCAGCTTTATTCTTAGTGGACATGCTTGTGAATACGCCACAGGACAGTACATTTGACAGGGGTGGATTTTATGGTATGCAAATTATATCTCAGTAAACACAGACCCCTGGGAGGGTACAGCAGTGCTGGCCACCCATGGGGTCCCCTGCCCTGGGCCAGCCCGCCCCAGGCCTGCAGTGGGCTCCCAGAGGGCATCACAGCACTGAGGGGCCATGACCCACTGAGTGTGCCCTTCTACCCCTACCTTCCAGCCTGGTCCCAGAGATGCCCGTCAGCGGGTCCCCTGCCACTGAGGCGGGGCCCTGGCACAGTGCCACTCTGCCCTTCAGCTTACTGCCAGGCACACGCCCACCCTGGGGAGATGGGCGCCTCCCCAGCCCTCTCGCTTCTCCACGGACTCATAACCACTCTGTGAGCCAGGTATTCTTCCCACTTGGTACCAAGAAGGTGAGAAGAGCCGGCCCTGCGATTTGACGAGGTCCCGGGGCACAGCCAGGAGCCGGGCCCCATCTCAGGTCCTGAAGTAGAGGCTCTCCACCTGCCGTGGGCGTCACACCCATGGTGGCATGGCAGCCGTGCCACTGCTAGGAGGGCACACTGGACACCTGGAGACCCTTGCAATCCCCTCTCTTGCTGCTGACCCTGTGGAAGGGGCAGTGTGAATCCACCTCCAGAGAAGGACCACCACAGTCCTCAGCACCCACCTGTTCCCAAACCGGACCCCCAAAATGCTGGAAGATGCCAGCAACTGCCGCTGTTCCCGCTCTCTTCAGACTGTCTGGGTTGGAACCCTGGACTGCCCAGTTGGTGCATGCCCATGGTCACGTGCTCACCCACCCTGGCCTCAGTGTCCTCACCCACCGGCCCCAACAGGCCCAGGGCCCCTGCATGCTTGTGTGCCCTTCTTGCCAGGCCTACAGAACCCCCCCCACTGAGCAGAACCCCCCTGCCACAGGCCCAGCCCCCACAGCTCAGCAGCTACAGAGCCCACAGAAGGGGCCTGATGAAAGGGACTGGCCTAAGGTGACAGAAGGTGGTGGCCTGCCCCTACCCCTCCAAGAGTCCCTGACCCCTCCTCGATGCACGTTCTAAACCCTAAATCTCCATTTCCAGGGGACAGGGCTGCGCTTCCCCCAGATGTTGGCTGCTGGCTCTGCCACACGCATGGACATGTTCTCATCAGGCACTGGCCTGACCCGGGCCCGGGTCCCCACCCAGGACTCACTTGTGTTGGTCCTGCCAAGCAAAGCTCCGCTCTGGCTGGTCCCATTCCTGGGCTAGGACGAAGCGCAACTCCTGATCGGTGGAGAAGGTGGCGAGGGAGCCGTTCACGCGCTGGCAGGTCTGCGCTGCGTCCCAGTAGTTCTCCCCGCTCAGGTAGACCCTGTAGCAGCTGGCCGTGCCTTCATAGTGGTGCCACCCTGTTGGGCACTTCCCTAGGAAACATGAAGGACAGCGGGGAGTAGTCCCCCAAATTAGGATCTTTACTCCAACAGAATGCAACTACATGAGGTGTATCTGAGCAGAGCTCAGAAATCACAGAGAAATGGGGAGCCTGAGGATTGAGAAGACAGCGCTGCCTGTGAGAGTGCGCACTCTGTGCAACGCTCGGGTCTCTCCCAGATGCAGACGCCCCTGGGGCCCGAGGGCGGCCGGGGAATCCCTCCATCGCTGTTAGGTGCTCACTTACTGGGCAGGAAAGCCTGGCTGCTGAATTCATTTCAGCAAAGTGGGTTTTGTTCTCTAATGAAGTCTGGTTGACACATGGCAGAACTCCCACCCCGCTCACTGCAAGGCCTGGCGGGAGGGAGTGGGGAGGCTCCCCAGCCGTGCCGCTGGCAAGCCCACCGCTGCCCAAGCCTACTCCCGGGCCCTCCTTTCCTGTGTGTGTGGGTGCTGGCTAGCGCTCCCCTAAATCAGAGGTGCAGGAGGCCAGAGCTGGAAGGGCAGCCAGTCGGAACCAGAGTGCCCTCAAGGCGGGCCGGGCCAGGTGTCTTCTCACTGGGAGACTCACCCCTGGGGCTGGGGGGCCCTGCTACACCGTGTGGCTGGCCTCGGCTAACAGCGACGCCCCGCTCTACGGGACCTGAAGCCTTCAAACGCCAGGGTGCTGACCTCCTCAAAGCACGCTGAGGAAGAGGAACGATTCTGAATAAAGCCAGTTGTTAGCAAAGTGTGTTTTGAATGCATCCGTCTCCAGGAACTAGTGAAACCTGTTGAAGACTGATGCTCATGCTTTTATTATTTAGAGGCTGTATGTGTAACTCATTAAGAAAGTGCAGAGATTACAGGACAGGAAACGGCAGCGCTGGCCCCAAGCCAACGCGACATGCCAGAGCCTTGGTGCGGTGCAGACGGCAGCGCCCTGCGCACGGGGCGCCAGCCCTCGGGTTCCCAGGCAGGGGCAGGGAAGGTGTGTGCGTGACCAGCACGTGGCTGCCAAGTGTGTGTGTGGTGTGGGTGTGAGGGGTGGGGGCTCGCCAGCTGGCCTTCACTGTCTGTTCACCATGCCCTCGGCCACCTTGTGCCCTGTCTCGGCCCCTGCTGTGGGGTCCGTCCCGTCTCCAGGTTAGAGGTGCGGACAGAGAGTGTGCAGAGACCAAGCGTCTTCGGCTGGTGAGCCGCAAGGCTTCCACCCCAGGTTCCTCGCCCACCATCTCAGGGCAGGCATGGGAAACCCTCCAGGGACAGACACCAGTGGCCAGAACCCCAGAGCTGAGTCACGGAACTGCCCCTCTCACTGTGTGCCCTCGGGCAAGGGGCCCTCTCAGAGCCTCGGCTTCCCCCCAGCCAGGCGCGCACGCCTCCTCTCTGCTAGAACGCCAAGTTCACAGCTCCCATGTGTCAGCGCCGAGCGTACTGTCAGGACCGAGAGGACAGCTGACCTCCGTGCCCAGCGCGCTCAGCCCCCCAGACAGGAAGCCCGGGCTCCATGTGGGGCTGGATCTGCGAGGAATGAGGGGGACCCTGCAGGGCGCAAGAGGCCTCTGAGGCGGGTGTCAGCGCGGCCCCGTCACCGCTCACCAGGCCTGCTGTGTCGCCATTCCTGAGCACATCTGCTCAGTGTGGGGCGGGGAGTCCCTGTGGTTTTTCTGCCTTCAACCTCCCTCCATCTTGTTAGGTGCCTTTAAAATCTTAATGTCATAGGCAGTTCATTAAATAACTAACGTTTTTAAAAACAGAGGTGGAGCCTTCTCACCCCATGAGTGGCACCTGACCTCCTGGAGCCCGGTTCCCCACTTACAGAAGGGCTGGGGCAGCCCAGCCCCAAAAGACAGTGTTTGTGTGGGCAAGCAGCCTGGGGTTGTGCCATGGCTTCACCACTGGGCTGGGTGACTGGGTAGGCACCATAATGCCCCGATCATCTGCAGGGCTGTTTCAGGGGGCTCACCCCGGCACCACCAGGGTCAGGGGAGAGCTGGGTCCCAGTGAGGTGGAAAGGTCACACAAGGGGCAGGTCTGCAACTTACTGCTGAAGCGGACGGGCTGGGCCACGTTCACCGCATGGAAGTGCTTGGGGTCGCCGCCCCGGGCCCGCCCCTGCCGCGGATCCACAGCCTCCTTCCCATGGTAAGCACGTGCCTCCCTGGTCACTTCTGAAAGCAAAAGAGAGTGGGTTGTGAGCTCTGCTCAAGCATGGCCGTGGAGGCTTTTGGGCCAGCTCACGTTAAAATGCAGTGTGGCCACACTACTCGTAACAAGGGGTCCAGGTTGGGGGAGCGGCACACATTCCATTTATTCAGCTTTCTTTGGCCTCGTATGCTGCTGTTCCTGCCACATGGGTCACAAGGGCTTCCTACCGACTTACGCCTTGGTAGGCTTCATCTTCACTGCCACTGTGGAATGAGATTGCTCCTTCACTGTGGTTCTCAGGCTACTGCTGGCTGCCGGCACAACACAGGATCAGAGGTGCCTGCTGAAAATCCCTGAGCTCAGCGCCATGGGGCTCTTCCCAGGGCCTACCCGACGGCCTAGGGGCCGTCCCGTTAGCATGAAGTGGGAATGGTTGTGTGAGCCGCCTCGGCGGGGCTCATCCGTGGGACGGAGTTGCTGTCTGTCCACCTGCTGCTAGCCCCTCTCAGCCCAAGGCTAGGCCTCCGTGTAGTCCTGCCTAGCCAGTGGCCGCCTGGCACAGGCCCTGGTGTGATGCAGGCCCTGAGTATGGCTGGAAGCATGAATGGGAAGGTGAAGAACTCCAGTGGCGTGCATCACGGTCTGAGAGCAAGGCACGCATCTTCCTTTCAAACAGCGTCTGTGGAGTTCTCCAACCCTGGCTCAGCGAAGTGAGCCGATTAACCCAAGGTGCGGAGCAGGAACGAGCCAGGGACGGCACCCTGCCGGGCGGCGGGCAGCAACACCTCGGTGCACTGTGGATATCAGGCACAAAGTCAGGACAGTGACAAACTTGGTCTGCACGCCTGTACACAGACAGGAAAACAGAAACCTCACATGGGCCTGCTCTGCCACCGCATGGCAACTTCTGGCAGGACCATGGCCATGAACCTGGCCTTCCGTGGCTCTGCCGCTGGCCATCAGCCCCATCTGAATGTCGTTTCTCCAGTTGTCTGGTTCTGCTAGAGGCACCTTTCATTGCATAAATGTGTACTTTTTCTCATTATAAAATAACAAATGTTCAACGTGAAATATTTGAGACATACAGAAGTTTTTGAAAAGACAAAACATATTAACTGTTACTAATTAGGGTCCGCTGCCCTTCCAGTCTCCTTTTTTCTACACAAATCCTTAAAAAATACTGGGGTCACATAAAACACTATTTTATGATTTGCTTTGTAAGCTTAAAATGATACACAGCTTTCCACACTCTCAAATGGGCTTAAGAGTTCACTTCTAATGGCTGCATAGTATTCCACGAATGGATGTCTTTAATAACCGTAATCCCCCTCTGGCTCAACATTTAGGCTGTTCAGATTTTCTTCGCTACTCCCCCAAGGGCCGCCCTGAACACGGGCGAGTCTGTGTGCTCTCACTGTGGGCCCCGTCCAAGGCCCAGAGGCTTTGGTTCCTCCCCCACGAGATGCTCAGGGCAGCCCTGCCCACAGCTCCTTCCCCGGCATGTCGCGGGAGTCAGGTGCCACTGGGCTGCAAATTGTTCTGCACGTAAATGCACTGCCAGTGTCGGAGGTCAGTTCAACACCAAGAACACAAGGAGAAGCACCTTTAAGGCCTGTGCTGTGGCCACACTGCCAGCAGTGACGTCACTGCCACCACCCTTGCGGTATGGGAAGGGTAGCCTGCGGCTGCAGCTGCTCCCTTCAAACACCAGCCCCCGGCAGCGGGGCGATGTCAGCTCCCAGGCAGGACTGGGGAGCTCCTCTGCACCCCCAGGAGTAGCCTGGCGGCTCTGATGTGGGGGCAACCCAACAACCCCCTGTCCGGGGCAGCAGGCAGAAGAGCAGGGCTTCTGAGGGACAGCAGACCAGGAGACAGGACGGAGGGGAGGAGAAGGGCTGCGCAGCAAGAGCACAGCATGGGAAAAGGGCAAAGGGCACAGGCAGACAGTCTGGGAGAAGCATGTCAGCTCGGGTGTGCCTCAGTTTCCCATCCCTCCCATCTGCTCAAACCAGCTGGACTCGCGAATCCACTTTGGGGTTCGGCTTCTTCCCCAGACCACACAGCACCTGGTAGGTGACAGACCCAGCGGCCCTCCGAAGACAGATGAATCCAGGGCGGAGTGGAGAGAGGAAGAAGCCACGGTGTGTGTGCCGGGTCACACGGGCGCTGACTGTCAGCGGCCTGGCTGCTCCCTGCTGGGGTGAAGCCACCCTAGGCCTGGAGGAGCTGGGCAGATGAAAGGGGAAAGGAAGGTAGCCAGGGAGCCCGAGGACGCTCCTGTGTGCAGAGCGGGCTCTCTGGGGCTCGGGGGGCAGTTCTGAGTCCTCCTTCCCACCATTTCTCTTGACATTCAAACGCCCCCATCCACACACCCCTTCATTCCTTCAGTGCCTGTTACACCCACCACGGAAGCCCACAGGCACAGACAGAGGCCCTGCCAGCAAGATGGGGAAGGCTCAGTGGAGAGACAGTGTGATGGCAGACGGGGGACCCCCAGGGCCCCGGGGGCCAGGAGAGGCAGGACATGGGGGTGGCGGGGCAAGAGGCAGAGCTCACCCGAGTAGCCCCTTTACGACCTCTAGGACCCCTCTGACAGTAAAGAATTTCCTTCTGAGACCCACAGGCAGCGCTGCCCCCATGGTGCCCAGCAGCAGGTGTGCTGCTGGGCAGCTGGCCTGGCTCTCCTGGCTGAGCTGATCCGCGGGCCGCCTGCCCTGGGAACCAGTTTCAGAGAACCCCCAAGTAGCCTCCCCTCCTCATCCTCCCTCTCAGAGCCAGGCACTGTCCTCAGCACACGGATCCTGGCAGTGAACAGGCAGCGCACAGTCCTGTCCCCTAGTGCGGTCACGCCGTCCTCTGCTATCAGCGACTGGCCTCGGACACAGGGCCCAGGAGTCTGGTGTGTGACCAGCCCCAGCCCACAGAGGGCGTGGAGAGCATGGTCCCTGCGCCACGGGTGCTCCGTGCTCTGCAGATGTCCTCATTGAGCTCTGGCTCCCAAAGATGCAAACGGAGCCCGTGGAGGGGACCTGGAGCAGGGGGGGAGCATTGTGCCTGACCCGCCACTGGGAGACCAGGGACCTAGAAATGTTTTACAGATGGGGAAGCAGGCTCAGAAACGTTGTCAGACTTGCTTCAGGGCAGAAGTGGGGCAGAGCAGGTGGGCCCCTCTCCTCCGTGGCCACAGGACCCAAGTCACCAGGTGCCCGTTTCTGCTCCGGGGCACCCATCTCCCCAGGCAGCATGGTCTGCTGTGCCCTTGGGACTTAGGGCAGCTGCCTCCTCCCCGGGCCCCAGACATGCCCAGCTTTCTGCTTTCCCAGCACAGACCTCACAAGGAGAGCTGGGGAACCCCAGGAGAACCTTGAGTCCAACCAGGAAACTGAGGCAGGGCAGGCAGTGTCATGCTTGCTTCCCAAAAGTGTTTGGCCAGAAATGAGGATTATTTGCAAATGAAGTACTAATGTAGATGTGAATGATTCTGATTTGTGTTTCTAGAAATGTGTGATGTGTCCAGACATAGCCCCGGGTCTAGATGAGCTTGTATCCTCTCTAAATAAAGAGGAGGTTAAGACAGCCTGAGCCTCTGTAGGGCTCCGGGTGGCCAGAACACGTACCACTCGCCTACTACACCAAAACAGGTTTAGAATCGTGGTAAAAAACCAGGTGTCGGTAAGTCAATGCCTGCTTACCAAAAGAGGATTTCTACTATCAGAGAGCCTGAAAATATTTTCATTACATTGTACATATTTTTTAAATTCTTTCCGCTCTCAGCTAGCGCCAGGGTTGTCTCGTTTACTGAGAATCTATGGTTAAAGGTTTGCTAGTTCGGATAATCCCCAGGGACCATCAGTGACCACCCACTGAGGTTTTGAGACCTAGCTTCTGAAATGCCAACACGAGCACTTTCATTTCCCCATTTCACACCCACGTGGACATTATATGACTCAGCACAGAGAATAACAGCAAAAATACAGCCCTGTGACTTCCAAGCTCAAAATCTGCCTCCCTCCCATTGCTCCACGCATGTCTCGGGCACACGTTCACAGAGGGTCCATCTTCCCTTCCTCTAACGCCTGCGACAGAGGCCGACGCCAACAGATACACGCTCCTGAGCCCAGATACATCCTGAGCCCAGAACACGCTCAGGATGCGGCCTTGGCTCTTGACGGCCAGCGGAGCCTCTGGCGGAGGCCGAATGACCTACATAAGAACCCTCAGCCACAGTCTTCCTAGCTCTCACATGTGTACGTCGCGGATGCAACTGCAGACCCAGCACCCTCCTCCCAGCTGCCGACTCCTGATCCCGTCTCCCAGAGACACCTTTTTTTACCTATTTCTTCTAATACTTATGTCCATATTTCCAAATAATAGGTTTAACTGGCTATTTCGTTTTATCAATTTTAAATGTTACCCACTGACTTGACGTTAAGGCGGGTGCACACTCAGATCATATACAGAGTCAGTCGCCAACACACCAGAACCAATTCCGCGACTGGGCTCAGCAGGCAGTGAGCCAATGAGCAGTCAGGCCATTTCAATTCGTAACAACTTTCTTTTTCTTGGAGTTAGTATTTGCACAGATTTTTAAATTTACTTAGTTTTCTGTGTATCTCCTGCCAATTTTTCTAGCTGCCGCAGTAGATCACCATGGCAGCAATGAAAACTTTAAACACTCAAAACACGATCAGGGTCTCGCAGCTTTGCTTTGCTTTCCTGGGGGGCCCTTCCGGTTCCCAACCTTCTGGCACCAGTCTGGATGGGCTACTACTCTCTGGGCTGGGGCATGGCTGGGATCCGGGGATCCATCTGCTGCCTTCCTGCTTCACCCTCTGCTTTTACAAGATCGCATTTTCCTCAGAAAAGGTAGGGCAACTTTCCTGAGTGTGTCCACATCTGAAAATTTCTTTATTCTGTTCTTATGCACAAATGGTTTCCCCTGGGCATGTAAATCCCAGTTAATAACATCTCGAAGTCTCCAGTTAAAGATATCAGATTGAACAAACATATTTATTCACCTTTA